AGCCACCACGTAACACACCTAACACACAGCACGGCAGCCACCACGTAACACACCTAACACACAGCACGGCAGCCACCACGTAACACACCTAACACACAGCACGGCAGCCACCACGTAACACACCTAACACACAGCACGGGGAGTCACCACGTAACACACCTAACACACAACACGGCGAGTCCCCATGTAACACGTGCCCCACATAACACACCTAACACAGCACGGGCGGCCACTGTGCAGCATGTGCCGAGACGCCCAAGGCGCTGATGCCAGCACAAGGGGACCGCGGGGCTGAGACCCAGGACGGTGCACCAGAACCAGCTACAGAGGGGTGAGGACTGAGGACTTCGGAGGGCGGTGGTGGCCTGTACCCGCCCTACGGCTGGGATCCCAGAGGTCCCGCTGCACCCACTTACCCGGAGCAGTGTTCCGAGAGTTCTCCCGCTTTATGTCCCAGAAGAGATCCCTCTGAGCGGGGTCCAGGGAGCCCCATTCTTCTCGAGAGAAATAGAAAGGTATGTCTCCCCACTCCATGGGTCCCTGGAATAAGGCGAGAGGACCCAGCTCAGGGCCACCGTCCCCAGACCTCCAAGGCAGCCATGGGCAGGACAAGGAGAGGCCTTGAGGAGGCGAGGCCCATTTCACAGACTCGCCAGGACCAAGGGCCTCAGAGAGGGCAAGAGGCCTGGAGCTCACCTGGGCCCCAGAAGCAAGGCGAGCGCCCGTCGTCTCTCCTCCGCTCCCCTCCTTAAAAGCCGACAGCGGGGCTGTGGGAGAACAAGGCTCAGAGGCCGCCCAGGCCCCGGCCTGAGCCCTCGCCGCCTCCCCTGCACGCGCCCGCACACCTAGGCCCACAAACGGAGACGCCCTCCACAGCTGCTCGGCCACGGGTGAGCCCGCCGGCCTACTCACCACCGTGGCTAGGCTGCTCCTGGGGGACAGGAGGCCCCTTGGCTGAGGGTGGCTGGACTGCAGCCTCGGGGTCCACCTCCTCCGAGGGCACACCCTGTGCAGGAACCACAGCATGCTCATGGGCACCCAGACCAGACGGGGGGCAGTTTACTCCCTGGGAGGACAGAGGACACGGCCCTCAGGATGTGGATGTAGGGAGGCTGACAGGGGGCCCAGGGCCTCTGGCAGACAATGTGGCACCAGGCAGTGCCGTATGCCCAAGGACACTTTCTGATCAATCACGGGGCAAGGACCAGCCCCCGAAGCCAGACTGATGACCACTTAGCAGAGGGCTGGGGAGAATCCTGCCATGGCAGAACCACACTCCCCGGGTACTCACTGGCACCGCCCAGATGCTTCCAGAGAGAGGGAAAGGGCCCACACCCCACCAGACCAGCCGGGCAAGGCTACCATGGCCAGGTCTCCCTTCTCAGGCCCCTCTGGGTCCTCCTGCACAGCAGTCCCCAGGCCCAGCCTGAGCAGAGCACGAGTGGACGCTGGCAGAACCTGGGGGAGCGGAAACCACCTGCCCACTCTGCCCCTACTGATGCCACCAAAGGACACCCCCTCCATTCGGGACCATGTCCTTCAGGAGGCGACTCACGCACACTGCGGCTCCCCCACGGCCCTCCTGACGGCTGTCTCGATGGAGATGGCCACGTCTCTTTGGCCAGGGTACCCTCCAGGGGTTCCTGGATGTGGGCGAGCCCTCACCTGTGGCCAGGCTGTCACTGGCTGCTTCTGCAGGTCT